ACAAATTCTACCTGATTAAGTTAATACCTAAGGGACATGTAAAAACCACCACCATCTTATATAAAAGTCTCTTACAACTCAAAAACTGAAGAAGTATTCCAAATCATCACTTTTTTATGAAGCATTTATTTTTCTTTATGAAATAATGGAACTTAACAATATGTAATTGTCTATAAATACATTAATATAAATCGTTATGTTATTTATAGTATGGCATATTGATTTATTCATTTACTACATTCATCGGGGGTTGGACTAGATGACCTTTAAAGGTCCCTTCCAACCCAAACTATTCTATGATTCTATGATTTATATGCCCATTAGTAAGTAATACATTCCCACTATTTGCTGTTACAGTAAAATACTGGATCAATCCTCTGTTTTAGTAGAATATTCATCTGCTTTTACTTTTCATAGTTGTTTTGTTTGGTATAAGAGGTCTCAGAAATATAAACAGAATGTAGGCTGTAACATCATGCAGCATTAATGCAAGGTTTGAAATAAAGAGATTATAGAATAATCAAAATAACTAGTACTTAAAAGAAAAAGGTAATTCAATATTGCCTGCTTCCACCTTAAAAAATTAGTTTAATAGAAGTCAGTTTTTACTTCACCTGGAAGACCAGCTAACATTTTAAAGTATACAAATTGAACATTGCAGTAACAGCTTAATTTCTGCAAGGAAATGCTGACTCCTTTGTTTCTCTTGTTAATCTCTTTCATGGCAGATCTTAAATCTCCCAAATCCTTAACGTTCTTCTTTCATAATTAGCAAGAATAACAAATGTTTTTTCTTAGACAGCAAAAATTTGGTTTTGCTAAAAATATTAATTTTGCATAGTATCGTAGAAATTACACTGTCCACTATACGGAAAAATGAGTAGTATTGCTTTAATCTATGCAGAATGGAATTTAGGACTAAAGGTTCATTTTCTGACCTGAGTAAATTCTCCTTAACTCCCTACTCTCTTTCCCAACCTCAACCATTCTGTGAATCTGTGATACTCTGTATTTGCTGTACTGTTTCATCTACTCCAAAGATGCTCATGTCCAGGCAGTTGCACTGAAGTGGAATAGGTAAATTCTGTCCTTTGTCGACATACAGAACTAGCAACATGGGACAAGGTTTATGAGATCCCTGTCACAGTAAGCAACTCTCTACAGATTCCTGTCTCCCCTCCAAAAAGACTGTAGAAGTTAAAATACCCAATGACTGCTATAACCCCTTCCATCAACTGCCGAGACAGAAAGCATCAGGGACCAGCCATTGACAACAGTTAGTGAAAAAAACAGCGTGTTGGGCAATTGCTACCAAGGGGACTCTGTTTCGATTTTTCTGATTCAGCACAGAGTTATTTAACAATCACAGCATTTTGAGACTGCTTGATTGGTTTCAGTCTCTTTGGCTGTTTGTTAAAGAGGAGTTACTTTACCAGTCATTCTGGGACGCTGCGGAAGCTGCCCCTTTGGCTACCTGAGTAGCTCACCAGAAATTCCAGCAGCAGGGAAAATGAACTGGCAGGTCCTCAGTGAAAGGAAAAAAATATCACAGCACACACGGAGGGCCCAGCTGAACAGCTGGCTGTACCAACACAGCTCTGTGCCCCATGCCAGATATGCAGCACATTCTTGGCATTACCAGAATGTATTATTTTTTGCCCCCACATGTGTACCATTTAGCAACAAAATTAGATTGTGTATGAAATACATAATGAACTCTCAGAAAACTGTGAAAGAGTATTTCTATACCTTACGTTTCACTTACCTGAGGTCCCCAAGGTCCTTTAGGGCCAAATGGACGTTCCAGTCCCTACATACAAAAAAAGGAAAGACAAAAAGAAAGTGGTTTTATTTATTAACATTTCTTAATAATTACTAATAATTTGGTTGGATTATCAAAAATTTAAAAATACATTTAAAATAAAACATATTGTCGTGGTTTAACCCCAGTTGGCAACTAAGCACCACACAGCTGCTTGCTCACTCCACCTTGGTGGGATGGGGGAGAGAATCGGAACAGTAAAAGTGAGAAAACTCATGGTTTGAGATAAAGACAGTTTAATAGGTAAAGCAAAAGCTGTGTGCACAAGGAAAGCAAAACAAGTCATTCATTAGCTACTTCCCATCGGCAGGCAGGTGTTCAGCCATCTCCAGGAAAGCAGGGCTCCATTACGCATAACAGTTACTTGGGAAGACAAAGGCCATCACTCTGAACGTCACCCCTTCCTTCTTCTTCCCCCAGCTTTATATGCTGAGCATGATGTCGTATGGTCTGGAATATCTCTTGGTCAGTTGGGGTCAGCTGTCCCAGCTGTGTCCCCTCCCAACTTCTTCTGCACCCCCAGTCCACTTGCTGGTGGGGTGGGGTGAGGAGCAGAAAAGGCCCCGAGTCTGTGTAAGCACAGCTCGGCAATAATGAAAACATCTCTGTGTTATCAATACTGTTTTCAGCGCAAATCCAAAACACAGCCCCATACCAGCTACTATAAAGAAAATTAACTTTATTCCAGCCAAAACCAGCACAAAAGTATTAATTCTTAAATATTAACTTAATAAAAATTCCCATTTAAACAATATGCCAATATTCTACATTGAAATACGCTGAACCATCCTCCTTCATAACAAACCACGTCTTTTGTTGCACTTTATACCTCTTCTTAGTTCATTATAGTTTCTGATACTTTACAGATGACAAATGCTTGTTTCTTCAACATCATCATCATCATCAATACAAGTTACCTAAAAAAGTTTTATAATCCACTGCAACAGATTCTAAGTACAGTTTTCTTGGCTACTTTTTTTATGTTCAGGCGGCCTTCAAAACATGCCCTGAATAATTTTCTGTTACCTGATAAAACAGTTACCTTAGCATCCTAACAGCTTCTTAAAAGGTTGTTCAAGACATTTTTTGCCTTTCTCATATGAGATATTAAATACTTCCTTTCTAGATTGATGTTTCAATTTTTTTTCTATAATTCCCTCATTCCTGAAGAGATGCTACGAACCCCAGTGAAGACACAAAATTTCCTGTGCCTTCAGAATGTTATCATGTTGCAGACTACTTTTTCTTCCATTTCACAAAACTTCTTGCTTTCCTTTGAGATCTTTATTGAAATACTTTGCTTAGTGACTGCTCCCTAAGAATTTACAAACACTTCCATTTTGTCTTTGATATAGTATGTAGAATGTAGGGAAAAACATTCAGAATTACCATTGACAGAATTTAGTTATGATCCACATGATAAATCTGAGCAATGACAATAATACCTATTTTGCAGTATTTTCTACTTACATAAGTGACATAGTTTTGAGTTTATCCTACAGGTCTGGGTAATAAGGCTTCAATTGCTCTTCCCCTGGCTATGTTTCTTTCTGAGTCTACAAAGTCAAATAAAGACTCCTGTTTGGCATCTGTAGGGCTTGGATTAGACTCCATATCCCCTTGCAATTCCCATCACAGAGCACGTTCAAAACCAGGGATGGAACAAAGGACACATCTAGAGAACGTGTTTAGAACACATCTGTATAATTACTGACAGGCTGGGTACCACGGCCTTTTAGTAAGGTTGCCCAATATTTCCTACTTAAGACTCTGGGTTTTGTTATTTATAGCTTTATGTAACTTCAGAAACATAAGCTGTAACTATTCGTGCCAGATGTCTTTCTGTCTACATTTTAGCCAAAGCAATCCAGTCATTTCCAAGAATGAGGCTAACGAAAACCAGGCGTTTTTCTTTGGTTAAATAAAACCTGCACCCTTAATGTTTTAAAGCAGTAGGGTATACTTTGGGAAGTACAGAGCTTAGGGGAGGAGAAAGAAGGATGTACTTGCTGTAATTCTTAGGCAGATCTACTGAATTTTGGCCAAACTGTAAGCCTTTGAAAAAGGTCCTCTGCACCCAGTCAAGAAACACTGGGATTGGAACAGGGACAAGAACTTGGAACGACAGAAGCTAGAGGGATGAAACGCAAAAGCGGCTGAACACGAAGCAAAGAGGGCCACTGGTACCAGGAACCTTGTGCGTCACACCCCGCTTCTGCGTGGGAAGGCTTCTGGGAAGCCATTCCGAAGGCAAACAGGCAACAGCAGGCTGCAAACCGGGTGAGATTTTTGGAGGTTGTGTCATCTCAGTTCATGCCCGTTGCACTTTCCAGCGTAAGTAACACTGACCGGTTCCTCCGCTTACTAGTTACTTCCAGGGATGTGTAAAAATTGGTGTGGGGCATCGCTGCCACTGTTTTGCCCTTTTTCCACCTGTCGCTGGCACGCTAATGGAGAGTAACCTTTTCACGAGGAGGCGCCGAACAGCGTCACATAAAGCAGCGGGAGCATTTCAACAAATACAACCAGCGCAGGCGTCAAGCCATCCTTCCCCTGCTCCGTCACTGCTTCACGGTGCGACCGGCGTTCACTCAGCCCCGCGGATTCTTCTAACTTTGACTAAGACCCGCAGCTTGTCGGCTTTGATCAGGCCACCCCAAGCCCGCCCTGCGGGTTTACGCTGGCCCAGCTACTGCCAAGCGCGCGCAGCTGCCAGAAAAAGGGCCAAGAAAGAGCGGGCGGCGCCGCGGCCGGAAGCGAGCGCACGCCTCCATCCGGCGGAAGGCGCTCTACGTGAGCGGGCGCTCACCTTCTTTGCTGCCCCGCGCGCCGGAAGCGCCGCAGTTTTTCCTTCCCCGCTGCACTCGCAACCGGAAGCCCCCGTGCGCCTCCTGTTCTTCCTCCTCGGACGGCGGGGCCGGCTGGCGGCGGGTCGCCGCCCCCCGCTCGCCCCCCGGTGGCGGTGGTGCCGGTGCCGGAGGGCCCCGTGGGGTGGGTGAGCAGCTGCCGCGCCCGGGCAGGGTGGGAGGGTAGCGGTCGTCTGCGCTCCGGTCCCTTCCCACCGCCGCCGCGGTGTCCCGGCGGGCCTCGGCGGCTTCCTCGTTCCGCGGCTCCGGCGTCGCGCTGCCCCTGGGCAGGGAGCGGCGAGGCGGGCCGGGCTGCGGCCTGGGTACCCTGCTCCCCCCCCCCCCCCCGAGCACGTAGGAGCCGGGCTGGGGAGCAACCAGCAGCCACAGGAGGCCCGGGAGAAGTAAATAACGCTCCCTTTCCGTGCTTCCCACTCTAGCGTGTCCCTTTCTCCAATTGTAGAAGAGGTTTATAGGATCTGTGGGGTCTTTTTGTACATAGGCACGTGTAACGATTCTGGGCATGTGGCTACTGAAAGCGTAAATGGAATTTAACAGTAGTGTACATTTATGAATGCTGCTAGGCCAACGATGAACAAAGACAAGGTAATGTTGGGGCAGAAGGTGGGATTAGGAGCAGTGGAATAAGATGAGGAGTGGGAAGTTGTGTTTCTGCAGAAATCTTCAAAGAGGGCAAGCCTTTCTAGGCAATGGAACAGGCTTTAGACAAAACAGACAGACTGTAATTTTTGTCAATTAGTGTACTTCAATGAGGCAGAGAAATTTTCATCTACCTATTTCAGGGAGTGGCTTTTTACCAGCAGGACGCCCACATATCTCGCCACATCACATCTCAGTTAATCCCTTCTTCCTTAATAGTGGGGTGGAGTTTTCAAACACAGCAAATCCTATTGTCAGTTTGTAGGTGGCTATGTTGGTTCTGTCTCAGTAGGCATATACCACTGAAAACAAAGTGTGCTGCGGGGAAAGTGATGCAATGCAGGGAACGCTTAAAGTTTTGGCCTGAAACGTATACACGTTAAAACCTTGGGCTAAAAGTCATTCGGAACTGTATTTTTGTTTGTTTAAAGATGATCTCTGATTACAAAGGAATTTGGGTTTTGATAACATTCCTACGAATTATTTTCTCAACAGTTTCCATATGCATGGATATCACCTGAATCTTCTTACAAGAGCTTAAATTGTTCGTAAACTTACCCTAAACATGAGTGGCTCCAAACCTGATATTCTGTGGGCCCCACACCACGTTGACAGATTTGTTGTATGTGATTCGGAATTGAGCCTTTATCACATTGACTCTGCTGTAAGTTCAGAACTCAAGGCAGGGTCCTTGCGGTTATCGGAAGAAACTACAGCCACGCTTTTGTCAATAAATTCAGATACTCCGTATATGAAATGTGTGGCTTGGTATCCAAAGTATGATCCTGAATGTCTCCTTGCTGTTGGACAGGCCAACGGTCGAGTGGTACTTACTAGCCTCGGTCAAGATCACAACTCAAAATCTAAAGATTTGATAGGCAAAGAGTTTGTCCCTAAACACGCACGGCAATGTAATACCCTTGCATGGAACCCACTAGATAGTAATTGGCTTGCTGCTGGGTTAGATAAACATCGGGCTGATTTTTCAGTATTGATCTGGGATATCAGTAGCAAATATGCCCCAGAGACTGCAGTTGCTACAGAGAAAGTAAGACTTTCAGCAGGAGATCCGGAAGCAGGACTGGTCGTAACAAAGCCACTGTATGAATTAGGACAGAATGATGCTTGTCTTTCTCTCTGTTGGCTTCCACGGGATCAGAAGCTGCTTTTAGCTGGAATGCATCGAAATCTAGCTATCTTTGATCTGAGGAACACAAGCCAAAAAATATTTGTAAACACCAAGGCTGTCCAAGGAGTGACTGTTGATCCCTATTTCCACGATCGTGTAGCTTCCTTCTATGAAGGTCAGGTTGCCATATGGGATTTAAGAAAGTTTGAAAAGCCTGTTTTGACCTTGACAGAGCAACCAAAACCCTTAACAAAAGTTGCGTGGTGTCCAACAAGAACTGGACTGTTAGCTACTTTAACAAGGGATAGTAATATCATTAGACTGTATGACATGCAGCATACTCCCACCCCTATTGGAGATGAAACTGAGCCAACAATAATTGAAAGAAGTGTCCAACCGTGTGAAAACTACATTGCTTCATTTGCCTGGCATCCCACGAGTCAAAATCGAATGGTGGTAGTGACTCCCAATAGGACTATGTCTGACTTCACAGTTTTTGAAAGAATTTCTCTTGCATGGAGTCCAGTGACATCCTTAATGTGGGCTTGTGGACGACATTTATATGAGTGTACAGAAGAAGGAAAGGCTAGTTCCTTGGAAAAAGACATAGCAACCAAAATGCGGCTCAGAGCTCTGTCAAGGTATGGTCTTGATACTGAACAAGTTTGGAGAAATCACCTCCTAGCGGGAAATGAAGATCCTCAGCTGAAATCGCTTTGGTACACTCTGCATTATATCCTTTATTTTACTGTAGCTTATATCCTAAAGAAGTAGTATACCTTTATATGTAAACCAGTTATATGAAATGCATGAATATCTTTAAATATAATGCAACATCCTGTAAATACTTTGCACATGTTAATAGGATGTGACTTTAAATTAAAAAAAAAAAGTTTTTCAAACACTTGGGAAAAATTAAGCTTCCTATACGTGAAAATACTTATGAAGCAGTATACTGAAGATATGGATCAAAAACTTACAGGAAACAAAGGTCCCTTAGTTTATGCTGGCATTAAATCAATTCTGAAGTCATCTTTGGGTAAGAATGTTCCAACTTTGATAAGTTCTATTATAGTATGTTTACAGAATGATGCACTCGTGGGTCTGTCTTTAAAAATTGTTGAAAGAGGCTATTTAAAAATATAGAAACAAAGTATTTCTGTTTGTGTTTTAACAGTTATATTACAGGAATATAAACTGTTAACAGTTTATATTACAGGAACTTCCAGAATTTTCAGTGTTCTTGGAAAGTCAGTAATCATAAAAACAAAGTATCCTCAGAGGTAAATCTTCAACTGAACTATTTCAAACATTTGGGTTTTGACTATGGCGCTGAAAATTCTTGCTCCCCACATAACTATTATATTTTTTGAAGTTCCACATAGGAGTGTAGTTCTCGGAAGCTGACTTTACTGTAGTCACTGCTAATGTACTAATCACATTTGTATAACTGTGTTTAAATAAGCTGTCTTGTTCTGTAGTGTTAATCACCTCTGGTGCATCACATGCCTCTCATGCTCAGTAAAGTTTTTATTAGTATAATTTATTATTCGAATCTTTCCTTCTCTATTCATTATGTGTCTTACTAATGTTTACGCTCCTTGGAGCAAAAAAAAAAAACCTCTTTAGTGGTGGGAAAGCTTCTAGCACATTCATGGTTGCTAAGAAGAAGAGAACTGGTATAGCAGGTGCTTGACTGTGTAGTATGTATTTTCAAATTGAACATACTGATAACTCCTGTCAATTCTAACAAGAACCTCCAAAATCTTAGGGGGTAGAGGAAAGAAAAAAGACTTAGTGGGAAATATGTGTCAAATTTAGATGCATGATTTTTAGCAGATCAGAATGATTTTGTGGATGCTGCTACTTACCATGGAGCTTTTAGTGATGTTAATTTAAAGTACTAAAATATGATACTCAGCTTTTGTACTCTGCTTTATGATTGAAATCAAAGTGTTGCAATTTAAATTGTGATTTAAGCATAATTTAACTTAATTTCCATTTCTAGGAACAACAGAGAACCTCAGGCACAGCAGGAGTGGATCTGATAGACAAGCAGATATTATTCAGTATCTGAGTGAGGAGAGATCCTTGGCTTTGCAGCTCTGTGGGTGGATAAAGAAGGGAACAGACTTAGATGTGGAACCTTTTTTAAATTCGTTGGAACAGGAAGGAGACTGGGAGCGAGCTGCTGCTGTAGCACTTTTCAACTTGGACATACGGCGAGCAATACAAATTCTAAATAAAGGGGCTTCCTCGGGAAAAGGTGCGTATTGTGTTTAGTATCTTTTACTTTGACATTATATCACCTTAGTAGATTTTTTTCTGTAAACAGAATTGTGGAAGATAGTATGGAAAAGATGCCTGTTGTCTTATAAAATAGTTACTTCAAGTGGTTGTGTTGGAGCCTGATAATCTGACAGATCCTGATCTTTCACTCCTCAGACTGTCATATGCCTTACTATCTAGTTAAAATAGATTGTATGTTTCAGAATTTCCTATTGATACTGTGCTGGTTTTGGCTGGGATAGAGTTAATTTTCTTCATAGTAGCTGGTATGAGGCTGTGTTTTGGATTTGCGCTGAAAAAACAATGTTGATAACACAGAGATGTTTTCATTACTGCTGAGCAGTGCTTACACAGAGTCAGGGCCTTTTCTGCTTCTCACACTGCCCCACCAGCGAGTGGGCTGGGGGTGCACAAGAAGCTGGGAGGGGACACAGCTGGGACAGCTGAACCCAACTGACCAAAGGGATATCCCATACCATATGACATCATGCTCAGTATATAGAGCTGGGGGGAGTTAGCCAGGCATTGCAGATTGCTGCTCAGGAACTAACTGGGTATCAGTCGGCAAGTGGTGAGCAATTGCATTGTGCATCACTTGTTTTGTATATTCCAATTCTTCTATTATTATTATTGTCATTTTATTATCATTATCATTATTTTCTTCCTTTCTGTTCTATTAAACTGTCTTTATCTCAACCCACGAGTTTTACTTTTTTTTTTTTTCTCCTGATTCTCTCCTCCATCCCACTGGGTGGGGGGGAAGTGAGCAAGCAGCTGCCTGGTGCTTAGTTGCTGGCTGGGATTAAACCATGACAGATACATAGCCCAGAAAGTGTTACACTGAGAACTAGTGGGATTCTTTTATTTTAATGGAATTGTGTCTTGGCTAGATGTCATGTATACCTGCTTCCTTTGGGCTATATGGAGCTTTCCACCAGTGCGATGGCTGTGGAATAACTCAAATGTAATATTCAGGGTCTGCAGAAAACATTTGTTTTGGAGTAATATTTGGCAAGAGTTGCAATGTATGAGGGAAAAGTTAAGCTACTAGAGCCAGGAGATGGAGGTATTTTTGTTCTGTTTTCTTGCCAGTATTCCTCCTACAAGTGCGGTTTGCATCTGTGTTCTTTTATTAAATTTAAAAGACTATCTTGCCGCTAAAGTGGATAGGTAAGACATGAAGGGAACTGTTAAGGTTCTTTTATTTTTAATATTGCCCCTTTCTGGTGGGGGAAGTGTATGTGTGCTTTCCATAGGGAAGGTTCAGAGCGGAGACACACTATCTTAAAAAATAAAATTGAACTTTATGACAGAATGAATAATTAGATGAAATAGATTTAATGTTTTCAGGAAACTTGTTAACTTGAAGCTGCTATATGCAGTTGTCATCCTCCAGCTAGGTCGGTTAAGTGATGGCTATGTATACAATCCTATCTTTTCACTTCTTGTGCATATGAATTACGGTAATGACAATCTTTCCTGATAGTGATAGGAACACATTTAGCAGTTCAAAACTATTTCAAAGTACCAGAACCAGTGTGATGTTGCTTGAAGTATAATTCAGGCTGTCATTCATGTGGGCTTGTAACTTTGAGCTGTTAGCTGAACAGAGGCATTTAAAACAGAAACTAATAAATGCTAGTGTATGCACATTTATTTTAGCTAGTGTTAATTCTACTGCATTTTTTCTTGCATCTTGACAAAACGTTCTATTTCAAACTGATGCTTTCAATTACAGTTTTAATTGTTTGGGTTTTTTTAAGTCCATAAATATTGTTTCACTAGTTGTTTTTAATAAATCAGGTGATCTGAACCTTAATGTAGTAGCAATGGCTCTGTCAGGCTACACGGATGAGAAGAACTCACTTTGGAGAGAAATGTGCAGTACTCTAAGACTGCAGCTGAACAATCCCTACTTGTGTGCTATGTTTGCTTTCCTGACAAGTGAGTCTGGTTCATATGATGGTGTTTTGGTGAGTAAATTTCTGTTATGTTAAAATTCCTTTAAGTAATAGGTGCATATATATACACATACACACGTGTAAGGGAAGTGCTATATAGTCCATGGATTAATCAGATTAGAATGTATTATTTTCTCCTGATGCTGGCAGATAACATTTTTTTCTGCTAAACAGACATATCAGTGAATGTTACATTAGTGAATGAAACATGCATAAGCAGCCAAAATATCCAATACAGTTCACGCATTCTTTAGGGGAAATTTTTTTAGCATGGAGTTATTAAACCACTAGAAATGCATTATCAAAATAACGGGGGGGGGGGCGGCAAAAGGGGAGAGAGGTTAGTAATGGAAATGCACAAAACAGAATAAGTGCAGGGGAGTTTGCAGAACTTTCATCAAGCTATATTTGCATTGAATTGTATTTTATTTTTCCTTGTTTACTTGTTAAAATAATTTCACTGTGTTGAAACAGTAAACAATAATTTCACATCTTCTGAAATTGGTATAGAATTGCCATGTGAAGAGCAAACTAAATCTTTAATATGAGATGCTTTGGGTCTTTGGAGGAGTAACATGCTTGCTGCTTGGTTAGAGAACAACAGAAATACTTGATTCAGTAGGAATTATTTAGCCCAAGGGAGGACTCCTGTCATGCAACAGGGTAATTGGCCTAAACCTGTTGAAAACAAAGTTGTCATATGATGCTTTTAGGGTATTAAAAAAAAATAACATAAGAATCCCAGAGGAGAGAAACCCGAGTGGTTTTTTTCTTTCTTCAAGAGAGAATGCTCTTGTTCTCTGGATGTTAGGTAATAATTTTGTAGTTGTTTTTTACTGATGAATTGGAATTTGACAGATCATAAGGTGTTTCTTTTTTTAATTTTAATTTTTACTTCAGTGACATCTGTTGAAGTTTGCATGAAAAAGATTTTGCCAAGCACATCTCCTTGTTTTGGTAGTGTCAATCTCAATTTCTATTCTGAGAATATCAGGAGGGAAAAATATGGGCACGGCTAAGTACCAGAATTAATCTAGTCAAGGATTTTTTTTCTTTAGTGTTGCATCTAGTAAAAGGATTAAAAAGCAGAAAGTAAATATTATTGCATTGCTGCACCTTGAGTGCCAATATACTTGTGAGAAGTCCATGTTCTAGGTGTTTGGAGTTAGTTGTACCAGGCTTTCCTGCCATTTGAGTAGATTGTTCCAGTAGCCACAGTCTTGCTCTGATACCTGTATCTGAGTGTAAACAATTAATCTGATATTTAGTGTTAGCTTTCTTCAGATGTGATGTTTTCTTTGTATATAATCAATTTCATAGTTATACAATAGTGCAAATGTTCTGACTTTTACAAACAATGTATTGAAAAAGCAGAAACTTGCATGTGATGGTAGTATTCCCATTTTTCTCTCCGAAGTATGAAAATAATGTAGCTGTACGAGACAGAGTGGCATTTGCTTGCAAGTTCCTCAACGATGCTCAGGTAAGTTTGTGGTTGCACATCTAAGCAAACTGTTAAGCTGGGCTTTATTTAGAGGCGGAAGAAACTCTGGAGTGGAGGGGTGAACAGTGGAAGCAATGAGTCATAAGTGATTTGGTTTTCTCATCACAGTAGGATCTAAGGTATGGTATAATCTGGTCTTCAGTCTGTACCTTCAGCTTGATTTGGGTTTTTTTTTCCTTGTTTGTTTGGGTTTTTTATTAGTATTCATGACATGCTAGTTTGTTAAATGTTATTGCATTACCTGTATGTCTGTTTTGCTGAAGAGTATTTGTACTTACTCAGTATTTATTTCCAAATATTTATGTTTTCTCAAATTCAGGCTTGGTTTTACAGCAGGAATGTTTTCTTTTAAATTCACTGAAGTATTTAAAGAATATGTAACCTCCCTCTTTGCACTTCCTATCAGGAGGTTTAAAGTTTCTTGATAAATACTTGAATTCTTGCAATATTGTGGATATAGCCATATAACTTTTTCTGCCCAACGTTCAGCAAGCAGCATATACTGTTAGCAGCGGACACTCTTATAGAAAGCTATTCAAATCATGAAAAGTTTTGTCATATGCCAACATAAATGAGTTAGGAAGGGATGAACAGACAGCAAAAGTTAAGTAAATTTTTTTTTATAGCTGAACAGGTTTATTGAAAAGCTGACGAATGAAATGAAAGATGCTGGGAATTTGGAGGGAATACTGTTAACCGGGCTGACAAAAGATGGAGTCGACTTGATGGAAAGTTATGTTGACAGAACGGGCGATGTCCAGACAGCAAGCTATTGCATGCTACAGGTTAGTGTTTCACTCAAAAATAAATCTTTATAGAGGAGAACTAAACATAGTTTCTTTAGCAGTATAGTACTAAATCTTGTGAAGTAAAAAAGTATTTTCTATAATAAATTGGGACGGTACATATCATGCCTGTTTTGCGGAATCATCTGAAACACTCAATGTTAACTATAAACATGTATCTTCACTCTCTCTCTGTTTGAGGTAGCTTGAGGAGATAGCAGGGGAAAGAGGCAAAAAGAAAACATTGTCCTTTTCACTAGCTGAACTGGGAATATTCATTCCTCTGCTTATTGCTGGTGTTTCCTGACAGGTTCATTATTTTTTTGCTTCCAGGATTTTGATGGAGAACTCAGGTGAGATTTTTTGTTTGTAGGCATTGGGTTTGGCTTTTTTTGTGATGGACTTGTCTTGGCCCTTACACAGTTGCAGCTATTGCCAGCACTGTGTTTAACTGCATATATAACCATCAATGATATAGACTGTGATATGTGACAGAATTTTATAATCCTTCATGTGACAGACATGAGTTTTCAGGAGGACAGGGCAGCACAAGTATTTTCAACCAGAGAGGCAGACTGAAGGGAATTTTTATCAAACTCACATTACAGTTTAGCAGAAAATTAATCTTTTTCTAGACAAATTACACTGCATTATTTCTCATATCTTGTTGTACGCTTTATAAAGCCTTTTGAAAAAGTGAATAATATGTATTGTGTATCTTCAGTGAGTGTCTGACGTTTTTTCCTGCCTGCTTTAGGGTTCTCCATCAGATGTACTTAAGGATGAGAGGGTTCAGTACTGGATCGAGAACTACAGGAATCTTTTGGATGCTTGGAGATTTTGGCATAAACGTGCAGAATTTGATATCCACAGGAGTAAGCTGGATCCCAGTTCAAAGCCTTTAGCCCAGGTAAATGTAATTCTTGTATGAAGTATGACAAGTCCAGAAAGGAAGGTGGCATGGTACTTCTATAGAAAAAAGTTGCTGGCCGCACCTTGGCTTTCATGAGGATTCATGTGCAAAAGAAAGATTTCAACTAAGGCTGCCCTGAAAAAGTAGCTGTTTTTTTCAAAATATTTTTTTAGAAAGGACTTGATAACTGTTTTGATAGAGAGTACAGAAATCTGGTAAACAAATCTACATGTCTTCATGTCTAATCTAGGAAATCAGTTCCCTACCATTTTATTTCTGTTCTTTTTTTTTTTCTTTTCTTAAACCTTTTTCTTTCAAATAACAGGTGGTCTTTCAGAAACTAACTTCTCAACACTTTTTCTGGGGAAACTCGGTTTTTTTCCTCCCATGTTGAAAAACAAAACCAGAGATCTATCATCCAGCTGAGTTCAGCATCACTGTGAGAGTGATGCTGAAACCAGGGAATTGAACCAAGAACTAATTCAAATTGGCTCTTTTTTAACTGAAGCGAACCTCAAAGCTATTTTGAAGCCTTGAACCTTAAACTAAAAGTGAACAGCAGCAACTTTCATTATCAGTTCTGAACATAAGCTAACCCAAAAACTAACGCCCTGTCCAAATGCTATCTACTTAACATCTGGTGGCATTTTTAGCCAACATGGTCTTACCACAGCACCTTCCGCTCTCTCATGTCTGCTAAGTATGTGCATTACAAGCCTTAGGGCCCAAGGGCTTCTAAGGAAGGCTGGTTTTGAATTCATATATCTATCACAGCTGTTTAAGGACAGCTGCATCCTTACTGCTCCAAATGGGAGAGAGTTGAGTTTACTGCTCTTTCATTAATGTGATCAACATAAATAGCCCCTAAGGAGTTTAAAGTATGTGCTCCTTGGTATCAAGTCACAACTTGTGGCATAAAGTATGTAGATAAAGATTATTAGGAAAATACTCATGTTGGGGACTCTAGAGTGGGTCACCTGACTATAAGGAGGGAGATGCCAGATTTAGTTACATAGTAGGTAAACTTAATTTCTTTCATTACTGCAGATATGGCTTTTTATTATCTTAAATAATACCTTTCCAAGTTTTAGCAATTGTGCATGTTTTTATGTGTTTCTGAGGTAAGTGAGCATCATTAATGCCTACTCAGGACTGCAGTCCACATCTATAAGCCAAGATGTTAGGAACTCCTTCACAAGTAGCCTTGGCTTTCCAGGGCACTCTCTAGAATATCTGGTAAATTAAGTGTTTGCTAGCTTGAACAAATTCACTCATAGGTGTAGCAAAAGTGGAACCAAACCAAAAAATTAATGGGCTTTTGTTCTCTTTAGGTGTTTGTGAGTTGCAATTTCTGTGGAAAATCAATCTCTTACAGCTGTTCAGCTATTCCTCATCAGGGGCGAGGTTTTAGCCAATACGGAGTTAGCGGTTCACCAACTAAGTCAAAAGTTACAAGCTGTCCTGGTTGCCGTAAACCCCTTCCTCGCTGTGCACTTTGCTTGATAAATATGGGAACACCAGTTTCCAGCTGTCCAGGTATGAAACAGTGGGTTTTAGTTATTCAGGTAGAGTACTAGTTAGAGGCCTAATTAGCAGTTCCTGTTGGAATATCTTCTGTTGCACCTTTTTCTTTCTGTTTGTACTCATACTATAAATATTCATACTCACCGTTTCAAGCGAGGAAGACCATAATTGAAAACTTGTTTACATCCCATCTGATTTTATGATGAAACCTATGTCTCAATTCTTTCGTGTCAGACAATTAGCAGAGTGAGATTATCAGTGAAATTCCATGGTTAGACAGATGAAAAGATTCAAGTATTGTGGTGGTCAGTATTGTGACCTTTAAAACTGTAAGAACTGGGAAGTATGTTTTCTTGAAATGAATTATAGGCATACTACAGAAATCTTGGAATGTAAATTAATTGATTTTTAGCTGGAAGAAGAAGAGAGAATAAATTTAATTTAAATTTATTTTTTCATATTTTATTTTAATTTAATTTAATTTTCACTAAGTACAAAAGAATGTATGGGTCATGCTGTCACAGCTAAGAAATATTATGACTAGAATCTTTTGGTTCTGTATGTCTTGGGCTCAGCATTATACAAGGTCTAAACTAAACTGATTTTGTCCATATTTTTAGGTCAGTCTGTTATAGGGCCATGAGCAGCTGTGCAGTTGTCATCTGTTTATAAATCTCCTCTCATTCTTTCACTGATCTGTGTTATGACTTCTATATTGTAATTGTTCCAATTCATAACTTAGATTTTGTTGATTTTTCTAAAGCAGAACGTTTCACGTGCAGTAAAACAGGCCCGTAATTCACTGTAACATAAATCAATCACTGAAACATAAATCACTGTTGAAAGAGATTCTGTCTGTAAAATTTGTTTAATAGGGAAGTTTAGCATGTCTGTAAGATGTGAAACAACAGTTCAGCAATAAAATTCTTGTTTTGGCATTCAGCTAGTTCTTAATTATATTACTGACTTCACTTTTAAAATCAGGCCACTTCTTCACATAATGTTCCTAATTTCAAATTTATTCTAATAGTGTTACTGGGACTGAAACAGAAATGATTCACAAGCATATTTGTGTGTGGGGGGGTTGCCTCTGCACAGGAGGATCCAAGTCAGATGAAAAAGTGGATCTTAGCAAAGACAAGAAGTTAGCCCAGTTCAACAACTGGTTTACTTGGTGTCACAACTGTAGGCATGGTGGACATGCTGGACATATGCTTAGCTGGTTCAGGTAAGTCGATATTAAAATCTTTCCTGTTTCACATGTGTATGCTGCACTGAGTAGGACATGCCTCCTTTGCTGTATCTATAATTATAGTGTTTTGTTGGTTTAGAACATATGCAAAACTTAACTATGATGCCTAGTGTTTCTGAGATACTATGTCCCTGCATGTACTTAAATGTATAGATTACAAAATTCTTGTTAGTTTTATTTTACATGTTTTTTCTTTTTTCTGCTATTGCTGTCTAGGGACCATACTGAGTGCCCGGTTTCTGCTTGCTCCTGTAAGTGTATGCAGCTGGATACAACAGGGAATCTCATTCCAGCAGAGACTGTCCAGGCATAAATATTGTTTGAAAACGTGGGGCTCTCTGATGGATGTCCATCATAGTCCAAGCATATATTTTAGACAAAAGTCATTTGTGACTTACTGACTGTGAAAAAATAAATTGCTATCAGATTAGTAAAATGATGTGTGTCTGACTGTGCTTGGTAGAAACAGGTATTCCTGAAATGAGCCTCTGGGTATAGCATATGGTCCTTGTTCAGAGGATTGAAGCAGTTCAGTTCAAAAGCACTCCTGGAATTGTGGACTCTTTGGATTTGCTAAAATCCAAAGAACTTTATTAAAAGTTTTCAGGGTAATGCTGATGGGCCCTTTTATTTGTTTTTCTAAACAAAGCAGTGTTTCTATGCTGTGAAAGTGGGCCTTCAAAATAAACACCTGAAAAGTGTTCTTCAGAAGATGGCAAAGTGATGCTGTGGATTCCTCTGTTCATTGTTTGATTACACTTTCTTGTATGCAAATGATCATTTCCTTGTAAGTTCATTCAAAGTGCCGCTGTTAATTGTATTCTAAAGATTTTTATTTTAAAGAAAAATCCATTTCTTTCTGTTACCAAGTTTTGTTAATAGTAAAGCAATATCTTTGCAATTCAAAATCTTACTTGCCTACGTACCTAGCCGATGTGAATTTTAATGATAAAGAATTTGAGGGGTTTGTCTCCTAGCAATGTTTATATCCTAGAGAAGAGTTCCCTGAAAGGTCATGTGTGTTTCAGTGCAGAATGCAGGTAAACTATAGGAGGTTTCATTTGATTAATTTTTAAGGTAGTGCTGTAAAGATCTGAAATCTTAAGGACTGGAGACTTGTAAATATTTAAGTTTTAAACTACTTAATGAATTTTGACTTCAAAAATATTTGAAGACTTTTGGATAATCAGCATTTCCCTGTACTTCTGAAATACGCTGGGAAGTGTGAAATCAACCTATAAAAATCCTGCTTCTGGTCACTAGCAGACACCAGTCTGCTCCCAAAAGGATGCACAATTTTAAGTCATTGACCAGAAGTAGTTATGTTACCAGCTGGAATTAAGATTATTAACTTGAGAGAGAGTCAATGATATTTTGCTAATACTGTGCTAGGAGCTAATGTGTATTGTTGTCCTTGGTTTTGTAGGCAACAAAATTCACACAAATTAGGGGAAAAAAAACCTGTTTTAAGGTATGTGATAATAACATCAGTTTATTTGGTGTGTGTTTATTTACCAGTAGAAACAGTATATAAGTTACTTAACACTTGTGTGCTATGAAATACTAAATGGAATGCTAGCAATAAACTGGTACCGTATTGCCAGGACTGTGAAAATTGGTGTTTAAAAAGAGAATATATTGTAATATACCACTTGTTCTAAGAGCTCTAGTGTAGTTGCAACAAGTTAGAACGTGGAATGTTTTCTGTAGATGTACATGATTACATTCAGGACTTTGGGTTATATTTTCTGATTTAGCATTAATGTTGTAATACATCTGCTACATTTATTCTCATCTAAATTTCTTGCCTAATTGACAAAGATCTTTTTAAAGTTAAAAATCTAAGAGGTACTTGATATTTGTAGGCATGGGAGAGCAGTTACTTTTTTTTCTTGTTAGCATATTTATTTCACTTTCCAGTATTCTTGCACACTTAATGTTGCTGTTGAAGAGCTCTTCAAAATGTTCTCCATTTATATATGTAAACTGGGGTTTAATGTATGATACCCTATTTATATAAATACAGGCAATAAAACTTTTGCTTTATGGAAATGAGGATTTGTAAGTGTCAAGGATATGTTTTTATTCCTCTGTAGCAACAACATTTAGTAAATTTTCCTGATAAATTCCATGGCCAGGTGAATGCAACTACTAACATACAATGTCTCATTTTCTTATTTAAAGAAAACTCATTTGTAACATTTTTGACTTGACTATACCTGTTTGTGTCAAATTCTATCATTTAATTAAATTAGATGCTTACTTTGATACCCAGCGTGTCTTTGAAATGTTTTGGATTTTGAATGTGTGCATATTCTGGCACAGTGTAACTATCAGTTTTGGCTGTTGTAATTGGTAATCAGACTTTCAGGTCCATAATTACACTATTTGCAAAATTTACAAAGTAAGAGGTATATGGTTTTTAATCGTCAGATTTTTTCCTTGTTTTGCTTTTAAATTAATAAAGCTGTGATTTTGGGGGTGATTTGTTGTCTTCTAACAAAAAGTACAGCCACAGACATTTTATTAGCTGCAGTTACTTTTACATTTACTGTTTTCTGCTATCTGCTCAATGGTGGTGGTGGCTTTGCATGCTAAAATATTTTGACCCTGTGGTTCATGCTGATGACGCTTCATTATTTTCCTTCCATTACATGCACCAGCCTTGCCTCCCTTTCCTGATTAAGCACAAGCACTTTCTCATCATATGCACAGGCTGCTTGCACATGAGCACAACAGGAGTTGTGTATGTGTCCATGCCCAAGCAAGGACAGCAGAACAGGTCTGGTGATGGTGACCAGGGTCAGCTGAGGGTCCAGCAATTGCCAGACAAGTCTGCAGTGACATCCCTGACAAGGCTTCTCCCAGCTTCCTGTGTGCAGCCCTAGGTCCCTGCATGGTACTTCACTGCACAGCTACATTCTGGTGGCCTCCCTTGGGATCCTCACTAGAACTGAATTTCCCCAAGAGAATTCACCAAATTTTCATCTGTTCCTCCATTTCACGCTCACAGACTGCTTTCTGTACCTTAACCAACTGGGACATAAACCTCTCCCAGGTTCCCACCCTTTACCACCCTCATGTCCTCCCAAAGCAGCTGCCAGCTTCCTCTTCACACCTTACTGGCCCTGCTGCTGGCCCTGGTTTTGGTGACATCCCTCTTTGGTGTTTATGATACAGTTGCCCTGGCGACTCCCCTTTGGTCACTGACCCATAAGGCCACAATTTCCCATTTTATTACCTACGAGGTCTGGCAGCTTCTCAGACCTTCATCTTGTTAGTGCAGACCTAACTGAGGGTTAGCAGGCCCCATGGTTATTCCTTTCCCTTGGGAATCTGCCTGGCAGTTTCTGAAATTGCTATCCTGGTAAGTGCATATATGACCTGAGCATTACTTTTCCTTTAATATCAAGAACATTTTACAGTTCCTTGCATTGCTGTCTAGTTAGAATAGCCAAATAGTCAGGTTAGGCCACTTATTCACAAGCCTTGGTAGTCTATAGAGAAGCAGATGAATGAAAAGCACATAGTGGAAACTTTTAGTTGTATACTGCTAGCCTAGCCATGTATCATTGCTGCAGGACTGGATGAACAAGAAGAGTCCTGACTGACACAGGGGAACTGTAGCATTTCCCACTCAGATGTGTTCAAATGTTTACACACAAGACCATCTATCCAAGGATGGTCTCTGTATGGGGGTAAAGTGCTATGGCCATCTAGTGGTAGACTGTTTTATTAGGCCTGGATAGTCTTGGTAACGAACTGTACATTTTACAGAATATATGTATGTGCACAAAATATCAGTTTTCTAAAGTAAAATAGCACAAAAGACTTTTAAATGCTAGGAAAACATGCATGCAGTTATTAAGAATGACACTTGTTTCTACTGAGCGCTAAAATATAGCAGTGATAGCACTACAGGACGGAGCATGGTATCATGGCACATGGACCTCGTGTTCTTTGCTGTATGAGACTGACTCCTACTTTAGAAGGCCTCCTCCTTCCCAGTGACAGTAACTTTGTCACTGTCTTCTAAGTAGGGGGGCAGGGGGGGAAATAAATCACCTGTTAACTTGATCATCCACCCAGTTTATAGTAACTTTGATAAATAAGAAGTCTTGAAAACATAAATTCCTTGACTGAAAATGGAGATAACTATAAGCACAAAGCTAGCAATCTTAATAAGGCACTAAATCTATCTATTAAGCCTGAAACCTGTTTGTATGAAAGGTTAATGAACAGGCTAAGGTTTATTTAAAATACTTTGAAGTATTTTATTTATTAATTCACAGAGAATATTTCCAAAGTTAGATTTTACTTTGATTGTGTTACTGTAAGAGATGTAAGAATTCTGCTATGTGCCTGGATAGTAACAAAACTGGGAACTGTGTTGAAGTTTATATGGTTAAAGTCACCATGACAAGCTGGCTGAATCATGGTACTTCTGTGTAGACTCCCACCAAGAATGAAGGTTGTGATGGGAAGTCAACTGCATTTGAAATCCACAAGCCTTAACTAGACATCTTCAAAGTGTTCAATGTCAATGCAAAAAGCAAGTACCTCGTACTCCACTTGTTAAAATTACCTGTGTCAGGTAAAATAGAACAGGAGTCACCATGTATCACTGAAAACAGCACTCTAACATGTAATATTATGTGAATAGCCAAATGTAGCCAGATCTTTTTTATTGGAGAAGAGACCATTTTCAAGATGCAAAATACCCCTACATGTTCAATAAATTTGTATCAAAGCAAATAAATAAAAAATCTTTACGTTATAACCCCACCAAATGTCTTCAATATGAGTTTCCTGTGAAGTATCCTAGAACCTCTACCAACAGCAGCAAAAAGATGCCTACAAAACTTCAGTTTCTAGCAAGTCCAGTCCTGCAAAAGAACATTCCTCATGGATGCAGAAGGGTTAAATATATATAGACAGTGAGATATGCCCACAAGCGTTCTTCTTGCTGAATAAATACATTTCTAAAGAAAAAATGAAAACCATTCTTCACTGGCAATACATGGCACACGTAACACCATCTTTTCAGTATATCTGATGGAAATAAATGCAACTGTTACCATGCTGTCAGGCAAGAAAGCTATGGTACTGTTGTCCCCTCTAATATATATGTTCTAAATATACGCTAAGAAAAATCAATTCTTCCGCCCAGTACCAAATGGGAAGTATTCAGGGAATTCATGAATAATTTTTAGTGCTTCATTGTAGAGTTCCAGATCTGAAAGAGGGCAAAGAAAATGGTTATGATGCATAAGCCAAGTTCCCCACAAGCAAATGACAGCATTAAAGCACTGCTTATTTTAAAGCAGTATAGCTGAGCATTCCCAGTCTCCCTCATCCTCCCCAGTTTTCCCCGAGGCAACAACACTCTCATTGCTTGCTTTCTGAAGGGTTATTTTTAGGCCTGCTAGCTGCACCATCACACAAGGTCCAGTGCAAGGCCAGAAGGCCGCAGTCAGGAGTGCAAGAATGATCAGACCATGGCAGCTATCTAGACTGGCTCCAGCTTCAAGTCAGTCCCTACAGTTTGACAGTAAACCAGTGTATTCTGTACAGAATTTTTCCCACGACACTCTTCTTTTCTACATTATACTCTGCATCTGGCAGCTTGAAGAAAGACCTTGTCTGTAAGAAAAGATAATCAGGCTCTCCCTTCTTACTGAAGAAGAGTTCTGAACCCAAAATGAATTTGTTATAATGTATATTCTTACTTACCAAATGGACTTTTATCTTCTCTGAACTGGACATATGACATGCACATGATGGTTGCCTGATTTGTTACTCTTCCCACTACCTCAAGAACTCCTGAGATCTCTTCATCTAGCTAGAAAACATACCAAATATGAAATTAGTATCACTAAATTAGCTGCTGTCTCTACTGCACAACACTTAAGATAGGAACTCTCCACAACTGACTGTTCATGACAGATTCTGTTCCATTTCAAACAATACAGTACTACTGAACAGCCCTGTCCCCCCTGCCACCCAAAAGTCTTGAGCCGCTTACAGATTTAGTAACAGCCAATTCAGTACTGACACAAAAAAAATATATGAAGAAGCATCAGAGGGAAGATGCTGGTTTATAAAACTCTGTCATTTTGTCACTGAACAGAGACTAATCTAGGACACAGACAGCAGAAGAATCCAGATTTTAACACATAGCATTCAAACCTGAGTAAACTATAGAACTCTGTAAGAGCTAAGGAGGTATCACGCATGCCAGAGAGCAGTTCCAGTATTCCAGATCCAGGAGGTATAATTGGAAATTATTAAGTAATCTGTCAGTAAGTGTTCAGAATACAAAGACCTTGACAATAACAAGGCTTTGGTTGAACGAGGGGAAAAAAAAAGGCTAAAAGTATTATCTTGCTCCAAAATCATATAGCTTGAATATGTTTTCTTTCTTTTTTAAGATACTAATTTTAAGAGTGCAGTACTATTTCAGTAATGTTCTTCCAATATCTAACTCTTACTTTTCACTTTCTAGTAAGTCTCCTGGAACACAGCAATAGATTCCCTCCCCTCCCCATAATTTTGGGGTTCTCTGTTGAAAGGAGAAACTACACACATGCAAACAAAGGAATCTATTAAAGAGGAAAAAAGTTAGAAAGCACTTTGATTAGCAAGTCTAGAAGTTCCTCCATTGACATTAGGCAAACCAGAGAGATGAACCTGGCATGTTTTTTCTGCATACACCAGTTTCTCCTACCGCAATGGAACACAGACTGTGAAGTGCCCAACACTGCAGTTATGCATTTATGAAATTCGACCATTTACTGTGTTATGCAAAGTTGTGAAATCGTTGGTCAGATGCTGACATCTTAAGTTTTAACAACCCAAGGCAGGAAACCTTTTCATGACCTCCAGAAAGAAAGAGTTAAGGTACAGGCAGAACTTGTAGGAAAGACGTTTTCTTTCAGTTTGAAGATGATGTCAGCAAGCTTAACATTTATAAGACAAAACTCTTTGCCAGATCAAACCGCATTTTTCATCAACAAGGAGAGGCTCCTGTCTTGAAAGTCAGAGAGTACCATGTGCAATTATTTCACATGGAAATGGTGAGATTTCTCAGCATTAAAGACTACACACATGGTCAGTTAAGCTAGAGCATTTGCCATCACAGTGAAAATAATTCTTTAATTACAACATTTGCTAGAGAAAATAAAACAAACTTAAAAGGCATAAGAGAATGTCAGGGCGTTATACCTTTAGTGGGACATGATAACAAAGGAAGCAGTACTTTTGTGCAGTAGTTATAAGCATATCTTATACCCATTGCATTAATTGCATGATTTTTAATTTTTTTAAGAAAGAATGCTTCAAGCTAATGATGAAGTTTACTGGAATGCTATGACAAGTGCTCTAAGAGGCTATAAAAATGTCAACTCAGAAACTGTTGAGAATACCATGTTCTTGGGGTTTTTCGACTACCTTCACAAAATATTCTGTTAGGCATATAAAGGCAATAAGAAAAAGGGAGAAAAAAGTGAAATTAAAGTAAAGCTAATATACGTAGTGGAATATATTACACTGTAAACAACGAATAGAGTAAGACAAAATAGCCAGACAGAGATCTGTCTGACAAGGAATGAGTTCTCTCTCTTAATACCACCTGAAAATTGATGAAGACCAAGGCAGTTCATGAATATGAAGACTGCAAGTTAGCTGGAAGATGTAAGAAGCAGAGGCAATGAAACATGGGTGGAAAAGGGAGAAACCAGGGATTATTTTTTTTTTCCTGACTAAAAACTCGATACATGCAAGGCACGCACAGGTTTCAGAAATGACAAAACCTCCGGAATCCACAAGAGGCAACATCAAGTATTTCCAAAGTATTCCTTAACTTACAGGTTCGCTCAGCTCCACAGTCGTATGTTTTCCTTCTCCATCCGAAAGCACGAAAAGCTTCCCAGTAGGATGAATCTACAAAAGACATTAGCCCTGTGCGCTCAGAAGGCAGCTGTCAGCGTTACAGGTTTAGCCACCTCAACCAGAACTGCGCGGCAGGCCTTCCTCCGAAAGATCCGACCGTTGCGGCCGCCTCCCGCCCTGCCCCCGGCCTGACTGGAGCCGCCGGCCTCCCCTCGGGCCAGGCCGCGACGAGCTGCACCAGGCAAGGCGACAGCCTCCCCACACGGCGCCCCAGCCCGGAGCGCACCCCGGGGCAAGGCCCTACCCAGGCCGGCAGGGCAACTACCCCACCAAAGGCCCCGCGGCGCGGCCCCCAAAGGGCAGTAACCGACCGCCGGGCAGATCACGGACCTTCTCGACGCGGCCCACGAAGCAGACGGGCTGCCCGATGCGCTGCGCCAGGTGGCCGGTGGCGATGCGCGGCCGCGGCACCTCACCGATGTCCTCCATCCCGCCGCGGTTTCCCGCCCTTTGCGGTGGGGAGGGGCGACGTTGCCCCTGGCAACGGGGGGATTGGGAGGGCGGGGGAAAGCGCCGGGGCGGGATTTCCCCTTCGCCTGACGCGACCCGGAAGCGGAGTTGGAGGTTGGTGAAGCGGCGGCGGCGGCGGGGGCGGCATCGGGCGGCCGGGGCGGTGGGTGATGGCGGGGTGG